ATTATGACATTGTAATGTATATTCATGTCAAAACATGGTCTGAGATCTCTATAAACTATCTTGGTTTTCCATTCCTGGCATTGGTAATTTTTCTTACAGTTGCTCAGTAGTCCCTATCAAACATTCAATTATTTCCAACATTTCCAGGAACAGCACCTAGAAGGAAAAAAAATTGGCAAGATTAAGTATTAAGCTAAATTACATCTAGAGCAAAGGTAAAGACAACCAGCCAGAAAGGCACAAGATTAAGGACCAATATTCAAGGCAGACAGTTGGCTCTTGGTTCATCACAACTGAAATATTTATGGAGAATGGAGATAAGGAATCTGAGAATTTGCTTGTAGCTCTGCCAAAAATCAGACAGAAAAGGTTAGTATCATGAACTTCAATGGCAAAGTTTGTTTTTCATTGTGAAAACTAAGGAAAGTCAAGTCTGAACACTTGTGACTCAGACCCAAATTTATTTTATCTTCCCATTGCCTTGGTTGCAGCTGTTTCTCAAGGTTATTCCTAATGCCCATCACCTTATCTCAGAGGGTTCAGAAGAGTGTTTTGATTGCTTGATGCATTAGTTATATTATGTTCTCCTCCATGGCCATTTATTGTATTTCCGTTTCAGCTTCTTTCCAAATAATCATCTGATGATCTATGGCTGCTCAGCGGTTATTTTGAGAGTATTCCTTCCTCATTCCATTTTTGTCTTTTTATAAATATTGGGGTCCCCCCAAATCTGGAGATAATCTCCCTTTTTGGTAGAGATGGTTCTGTTTTTTGCATAAGTTATAATTTAATATAGAAGAATAGCATTTATTTAATTGGAAACTATTTGTGTAAAGCAGGGGTGCCAAACTCAAGGCCCAGGGGCCAGATCTGGCTCACGGGGTGGTTAGATTTGGCTCGCGGGGCTGTCCTGGAAACAGCAAAGGACCCGTAGTGCCTCTGCTGTGACTGTTTTCACTGGCAGAGGGCAGAGGGTTGCAGGAGGCCGTCATAGCTGAAAACAGAGCTCAGGAGCCTGTTTTTGCTGGCAGAGTGCTTGGGCCACCACAGGTGCCCTGACATGAGTGATGTCAAGCTAGCCATGCCCCCCCGGCCATGCCCCCCATCCCCTCCAAGGTCAAACACAACCCTGATGTGGCCCTCAATGAAATTGAGTTTGACACCCCAGGATAGCCTTGAGGGGAGAAGCATTATTAAAGAGATGAGGAAAAAAAATACAGATTAAGTCTGGGGCAAATAGAAAGTGTGCACAAACATCTCAGACAGATGCCTCCCTAATTCCAACAGTTACAGAAGAGAAAAGAGGGGAAGCAGAATCAGACTCACAAGATTACTAGAGCCAATCTAAACAAAAGTGGTCTTATTTATTTCGTGATTACCATAGGTCTGCTTTGTGGAGTTGACAACATGGCCACCAATCTTAAACAACTCTGGGTGGCTAATGATGTTAATAATAAAATAATAATAATATAGTAAACTACAGAATACAATTAAAAGTAAAAATAATCATCGTACTATGGTGCCTCAAAACAACCCATCCATCAAGAGGTATTTGAGTTCCCTTGGAATATACATTAAACATTATCCAGAACAATAGAGACTCAACCTGGATAGAGAGATTGGGCTGTATTTCTTGATATGTTCTATGCTGAGTCTGTTCTTTTGTTTTGTTTTTATTTGTGTGATGAATGATGTGGTCTCAGTGGGAACTCTACTTGCCTTCAAGTGAAGCAAACCTTTCCTTACAAGTGTAGCTTCACTAGTTGTTTTCTGAGTAGTGAAAACTGAGTTTCCACACATTTTTTGGCAAGTATGAATAAAGTTACAGTTTTATGGCGGCCCCATTGGTCTTGTTTTCTCATTGTTTATGTATACTTTACCCAAATATATATTTTAAGTGCACATTTTAATTTATAATCATTAGGCACAGAGCAATTTCTTTTTCTTGATACTGTCAGGCTAAGAAATACAAAATTTAAGATTCATTGCTCCCAAGAGATAATTGTATTATTTAGCAACCAAAACACTGAGTAGAAAGAGAGTATGAAGTTCAACTGGAAAGGAAAATCAATTACATAGAAAACTTTTTAGAAACAAACTTCAACAAAAGGAGGTAAGTGTGAAGAACATCTGAACAAAGAGCTTATAAACAGGGTCAGTTTATATTCCAGAGGAAGAAAGGCTCTAATTAGTTAATCAAAGAAATCAAAGAAATCAAGTGATGACAAGAAGGTAACAATTGCTATTAATAACTTTTAAGTGGAACAGAATGTGAGGCATGGAGGAAATCATTTTTACAATATATGTGTATGTATATTTTAATATGCAGCAAAGTAATGAAAACAGTGATGGTTGGTGGGATGCAGGAGGCATGCCTTGTCTACTCTAGTTCCCATCATTCAGAACGTTCTTCCTCCAGAAATTTGGATAGTCCTGGGACCTGTTGGCTTTTTGTAGGTCCCTAAAGACTTGATTCTGTGCCAGGGTCTGAGGCTCCGAATGTGAGAAGAGTCCATCTCCTGGGATTCTTCTAACAGCCATTGATGGTAATATTCTACTCAGTTGCTCTATGTTTTAATTTTTATATTTGTGATGGACATTTACTTTAAATTGACATTAAAATTGTTCCCATCCAGAATAATTTGTTGAGATGGTTGGCCATGCAAATTGAATAAAATCAATAAATCCAAAGGATGTGATTGTAGTTATGAAATCAACAATATGCTGCAAGAAGAATGGATGATAATTCATAGAGCTGTAATCAACGAATAAGAAAAAACATTCAAAGTAAAGATTTAAGTCATTTCTTTATTAGTAGTACATATCTGAGCTCACAAAGATACTGTTAAAAAAGTAAATTTAGGAGATTTCTTCTTATAAGGGAAAGTGGCAGATGATTTCCCCACATATCTAACCATAATGGACTTCTTAGAAGCTAGGTGAGAAACTCCTAATGACCTCTTTCTAATGCAGAGAGCCAGAATGCACTGTCCTTCCATTAGGCTGTTTGATCTTGTATGGAAAGCCAAGAAGCATACACAAATAAATTAAATTAAAAATTAAATATATGAAAAATAAATAAATATGGAATAAATATTCTACAACTGATCATTTTTATTTGTTAAATGTTTGGTCAGTCTTGACTTCTGGTAACTACCTGAATCAATTCCTGCAGTTTTTTGGGCAAGATTCTCAGAAGTGGTTCCATTACTTTCTTCCTAGGGCAGAGAGAAAGTGACTAGTCCAAGGTCATCCAGCCACCCTAAGGTGGGACTAGAACTCATGATCTACCAGTTTCTAGCCTGATGCCTTCATCTCTACACCAAATTGTCTCTCTTTAAAAAAACAAAACCAAAAACCTAGGCTAGTTTTATTAGCACTGGGCCTCTCTTGTTTCTTGTTAAACCTCACTTTCTTGAAAAGCACCCAGCCCCATTTTAATTTGTGGGAGGTTACCAGGGTTCAGTCTTGGCAACACTTCAATGATTCTGGGAGAAGGGCGGTATACAAATTAAATTAATAAATAAATAAATAAATAAAATGAAGAAAAGTCTCTCTAAAAAGATTTCAGACGTTATTAACAGTATTGCTTTAAATAAATGGATTACAGGTAGTCTTGCAATAATATCATTATTATTTATTTATTATTTATTTATTTATTTATTTATTTATTTATTTATTTATTTATTTATTTGGACTTATATGCTGCCCTATCTCCGAAAGGACTCAGGGCGGCTCACAACAATAAAACACACAAAGCTCAATTTTTTTAAAAAAAATACCCAATAAAATTATAAAAACCATTAAAATCCCCTCTAAAACCCCTTCAGTCCAAGCCGGCCAGGCGAAATAGCTATGTTTTAAGGCCACAGTGGAAAGAGGGGTCAGGGGCCACCCGGAGCCCCAGGGGGAGCTGATTCCACAGGGTAGGTGTGCCCACAGAGAAGGCCCGCTCCCTAGGGGTCGCCAGCCGACATTGTCTGACCGACGGCACCCCAAGGAGGCCCTCCCTGTGGGAACGCACCGGGCGATGGGGAGCTTCGCTGAGTGCAGTTGGTCCACCGAATAGCCTGAGCCTAAGCCATGTAGGGCTTTATAGGTGATTACCAGCACCTTGAATCTCACCCGGAGGGCAACCGGTAGTCAATGCAGGTCCTGCAGGAGGGGTGTAACATGAGAGTGTTGGAACACTCCCATCACTACCTGCACACCTGCATTCTGCACCAGCTGAAGCCTCCGAGTGGTCTTCAGGGGCAGCCCCATGTAGAGAGCATTGCAGTAGTCGATCCAGGAGGTGACGAGCGCATGAGTGACTGTGCGTAGAGCATCATGGTCCAGGTAGGGACGCAACTGGCGTACCAGGCGAATCTGGGCAAATGCCCCCCTGGTCACGGTCGTAACATGATCTTCCAGAGTCAGCCGTGAATCCAGGAGGACGCCTAAGTTGCGCACCCTATCAATATGGGGCAACACTTCACCCCCTAAAATCAGCGATGGAATATTCCCTTGGAACAGAGATGCCGGTATCCACAGCCACTCCGACTTGGCAGGATTGAGATGAAGCCTGTTCCTCCCCATCCAGAGCAGCATTAAGTCAGCTATTAGCAAAATCAGGAATGTACTATTTATTTATTTATTTTTTGATAGTAGAATGGCATTTCTGCAGTGCCAGATTCTCACAGAAACCATTTTTATTGACATTAAGAGTAAACTAAAGTTAATCGGAAAATTACAGCCTAATTTAAAATATCAAAAACTTTTCACATTCACTCCTTGCTATTCTAGTGTGTTAATATGCAAACATAAATAGATGATGTTTTAATATTAAAACAAACAAACATGAAATATGTGTTCCTTTGAACTTGAGAAGTATCACAAAAGGAAAAAACACAAGCTTTAATATTTAAATATGTTGAAAATGAATAAAATAATTTTATTGGCTCAGGTAAAAGGGTTATCCTTACTGCTAATTATCACTTTCTTTTTCATTTTTGCTTCAGGTATCAGTGGTGAGAGAAAATCAAGCATCATATCTTAAATCTTTTATTTTATAGTCTCAAGCTTTCTATTATATCTGACATAAACAATAAAACAAATGCTTCAAGAATAAAAGTACTTATATTAGAAAGCATTTTTTTTCAACTCCATTCTACTATTAATGACTTTATTGTGATAAAAACAGATAATTTGAAATTAGGAAGAATGGATGAAAGTTGGGGGGGGGAATCATGTCTAAATTCTAATTCTCTGGAATAGAAATCCAAAATATATTTAAATAAGACTTTAACAAGATTTCTGATGCATAGCAACCTGTAAGACAAACTATTATGTCATTGTTACATTTACAGATGTAAATATCTGCCAGATGTGATCATTATGTTTTCCCATAATGAAAGTCCAGAATCTGGAAAACAAATGGTATTTTAGTTAGAAGAGGCATGCATTATACTATGTATAGTTACATACTAACAACATATCTTACATCAAGTATGGTCACTCAGAAAGAAGCACCTGTTGACTTCAACTGAACTTTCTTCTTGGGACAGGTGCATAGAATTATAGTTATTTTCTTTTCTTTTGTTATTGTTAAGAATAAAAGTTTCAAGAACAATACAGAACTGGATATGTATTATATCAGTTATATTATTTTAGACACACATCTGGGGCACCAAGAATTCTGATTCAGTCTCTTATCACTGGAATAATAGAAGATCTATGGGAATCTTCCCCATTTATTTATTTATACCATTTATATAGCTCATCTCAACTTTGGAACTCTTGGTGGCTCACAATAGAAAAAGCAAAACATATGGAATATTATAAAAACAACATTCCAATGTAATCAAGGTCCCTAAAACTTTCAAAATCTTAATGATCAAATTTTACAGTTGTCCATTACAAGTAGAATAGGTTATAGGCACACCCAGAGCCAGTGAAATAAATGCAAGATTTTAGATAAGGCTGATGTAAGTCCTGTTTATTTCAGTGAGGCTACTGTAAAAACGAACGAATCTTTGTATAGTTTGAATGTTGTAAATTTTGGTGCTCCTGGAAGAGAAATATTACATTATGGAAAAATGCCTGCATGCTTGTAATAAATGAAACACTCTTCAGACCTTTACCTGAATGTATGAAATTTTAAAACCAAGAAGGCAATTGGACCGTGTATGGAGCAATTAACTCTATTTTTCCATACACGTCCTTGTGGGTTCAAAAATTGGGGGGAAAGACTAACATGCCACCCCATCCCTCTTTACAAATTACAGATCTCACTTGCTTATATCTGCATTCAAAAATGGTTTGATGGAAAGACACTATGAAACAGGTGCTACGAGATGAATAACAAGATGAATAACAAATAACAGGTCATTGGCCTACTTCTCTGTATACTTTTTAAAAAGCAGATCTGTTTCAATCCTACAGTTATTGCATAAAAGAATTGATAATTAACAAACTGTTCATTAGCTGTTCTCCCCAAGCCCGAATATTAAAAACAACTTTGAAAAATTTTGATAAGCTTGTCTGCATTCTTTAGTATCCTTAGAACATGTAATGAATATAGATGACCAAAGATAGACTGCCTGTCATTATCTGATAATGTCAAAGACATGGCAACTTTAGAGCAGTTCATGCTGGATAAATTACACACATTAGTAAATTGAGCTGCTCTTTTAAGTCATGGGGTGGGGGTGGGGGATGGAACTGTCCATTGTAATTGAACAACATTGCAATGAAAGAAATTGAGAAAGAGAGTAAGATGGGGGAAAGAGTTTGTATGAGAGGAATATATATAAAGTACATTCTTCAAACTTCTTCAGACATTGTGGATTACTGGAATGCTTTGATCCTTTCTAGTAGCTTAATATATGTTCTACATATTCAAACATATTCTGCTCAAGTAAAGCAGAAGCAGAACTTCTCAGTATATTAAATTTTCTGGTGATGCCTGGTTATTCAATTTGGCTCTGAATTGTCTATCCTGTCTATTAACGTAATGTATTATTAGAGAAACTACGATAAATCTGAGCAACTGGGACAATACCTCTCAGGCTCATAATTCATTTCTTTAATAATTAAAAACCTTGTATTCATTATCACATTTGCTGGTAATACTTAATGCCTTTAATTCAAAATTGGAATAGTTGATTTTGAAAGATAATAAATTGGTTGAAATGAGGAGAATTAAGGGGTCAATGGGCTACAGTCATCTCTGAATGCAATTTTTGTGTGCCAAAAACCATATCAAGGCTTAACTAGTTTTGATGGGGTCCTAAGAACCCTTACGTTGGCCCTGCGAACGGAGCAGTGCTGACTCTTTAGCACCTCATGATACATTACAAGGAGGAAGTAGGGGTTCAGATGGAGAATATAGAATTTACTCTGTGTCCCCTCTTTGTCCATCATTCTACCTATCTAAGACATTGCTGATTTGACGTTTCTTCCCTCTTTAATTTTTTCCCAGTACATGTGTACTGACAACATGCTCTTTGACTCCCTTCTGGTAGGATGTAGTCAGCTAGGGGCTGCATTTTGCCTATCCCTATAATACTTATCCTGTAAATAAATCATTTGATCATCATTATAAAGCTTGTTCCACTCAGGCTAGATTGTTTATACTGAAACAAAGAATACTTCAATGTACATCATATGTAGCCTGCTCCGTTCTAATTATCATTCAACCAGGTCTCAGTCTCTTCCATTTTCCATCATTCTGGTCTCTCATCCCCCTGCTGTCTTCAACTTCTAGGAAATATCTAGAATAATAATAAGTGGTATTGTCTCTCTATCTTTTTTCTTTTAAAAATATAGTTGTGTTATATCCATCACACATGATTCTGAGCCAAGCAACAAGTACAACATCCTGAATGTAAAGGGTTCTTTCTACCTTTTCTAAAATCTGAACCCATTAGCCAGTAAGGGGGAAAGAAACTGCAAATGGATATGAATAATAAAGGTGGGATACAAATACACACACACGTACATATAATACATAAATAGTGGGACAAGCTGCAGCAAACCCAGTGGCTCTTGACTAAATGTTATTATTGCTGTTATTAAATGCCTTGTGGCTTTTTTTTTTTTTTTTTTTACAGAAGATGATGCTGCCAACCTGTGATCTTACTAGTAGACTTGTCCAGAGGTCCTGCAATAAGTATATTGATCACAGTATCTAACAAGCTGAGGACTTCATAGAGAAAAAAATCCACAGAAATCTTGGTCATCTGTGGATGACCAAGCCAGATTTCCAAAGTAATCTAGTAGCAGAGTCATGCTCATCCTTCAACACCAGAGTAATTTTGAGATGGGAGAATGAAATTGGGAAGGTGTGGGAAGAAAAATACGTTATAATAATAGTTGATTTCCACAGTTTCCAATAGTTGATTTTACACAGACCAAAAAAACTGCAAAACAAATGTTCGTACGCTCAAAATCTGAGCTGAACAAAGTGGATCATAGCCATAAAATGCCAATTTTTGGCAATGTGATTCTGTTTTGCATTTTTATTTTGTGAGAATGAAAAACGGGCTGAGCTCTGGTAGATGTAGAACAGCTATTTTGTGTAAATGTTTCCAGATTCCTAGTCCAAAATGAAATTTGTGTTTGTTTTCCGTTTGATGACACATCAGAGCTAAACTAGGATATTGGCAGTGGCAGCAGCTGAGGAAAGGAAAGATGCTGGGAAGACTGAAAGCAGGTGGGCAGAATAGGCCATGCAACAAAATTAACAGAATTGGAAGGGATCTTGGAAGGCTTCTAGACTAACACCCTGCTCAAGCAGGAAACCCTATATCATTGGTTATCCAATCTCCTCTTAAAAACACCTCCAGTGTTGGAGCACCCACAACTTCTGGAAGCAAGTTGTTCCATTAATTGTTCTAACTGCCAGGAAACTTATCCTTTTAATTCTAGGTTGCTCCTCTCCTTGATAAGTTTCCATCCATTGCTTCTTGTCCTCCCTTCAGGTGCTTTGCAAAATAGTCTGACTCCCTCTTCTTTGTGTCAGCCCCTTAAGATATTGGAACACTGGTATCAGGTAGGAAATGAGGGGGAAAAGACATGTGCCTTAGCCTGCTTTTCCCTTAAAATCATTCTGAGCGCCTCTGGATTTTATTTTGGCTTGAAACCCAGAGCAATCAAAATGTTTATGGGTTTTGCTTTTGTTGAACTATAACAGAACCTGTGACTTAGCAGAACTTCTGGAGGCAGTAGGATATTTTTTAAATTTTTTAAAAAACTGAAAAATCCTTTTCATGAACACTCCTATAAAACAAATTAGATCAAATGGGAAGTAACATGGTTTCTGGAAACCTGGTTTTGCCTCATTTACCTTCTGAAGCAGATTGGAAGAGTCAAATTGCTTCATTAGAGACTCTTCAGCAAAATTGGAAGTACTACACTAAGAGAAGAGGTCCTTGTGAGAGACTAAGCTGAAAATGCCATAATTAAGATGAAGCAGCACATAACCAGAGAGGGAAAAAAAGCCAAGAATCTCATTCAAAGGGTCCCTTCAGAGAAGTAGATAAGAAGGAAACAAGTTGATAAGGAAACAAAGGAAAAATGTCACCTGAATCAGATAAAAGAAGTTGGGCCTTGGGTATAAGCCTCCTTGAAGATTGAGACATACTGTCAAGGTAATCTTTATAGATTTCATAGAATCATCTTGTTAATACCTCATTCTCCCAGTTACAACATAGGTGCATTTTTACAAGGAGAAAACTGTAAATTCAACGCTAAGATGAATTACGTAACTTAAAATAGCTCCAATTAAGAAATGAAAATGGACCATTTTTAATTCATAAAAGAAGTATTACATGATGGGTATTAAAATGATTTTATATAGAATGCTACCCGTTGTTTTTAGTGCTGCTTTTTTATGTTAACTCATCATGCTTGCTAGAAGCACTTCTGACACTTCTATTTATTTTTATTTATTTATTTATAATTAAATTTATATACCGCCCTACTCCCGAAGGACTCAGGGCGGTGAACAGCCAAAAAGTAAAATATACATAATATAAACATTAAAAACAATTTAAAATGTTTTAAATTTTAAATACTTTGGCCAGATTTAAAACACCCCAATTATAAAACCAATTAAAAAGCAATTAAAAAGGGAGGTTAGGCCAGACCAGCCTGCTGGAATAGGAATGTTTTGAGGTCGCGGCTGAAAGTGCGCAGATCTGGGATCCTCCATATCTCTGGGGGGAGCTCATTCCAGATGGCAGGTGCCCCCGCAGAGAAGTCTCTCCCCTTGGGGGCCGCCAGTCGACATTGTTTGACCGATGGCACTCTGAGAAGACCCTCTCTATGGGAGTGTACTGGTCGGTGAGAGGCTATTGGAGGCAGAAGGCGGTCTCATAGGTACCCCGGTCTTAAGCCACGGAGCACTCTAAAGGTAACCAGAACCTTGAAGTGCCCCCAGAAGACCACCGGGAGCCAGTGCAGCTGGCACTTTGGTAAATGTGCATAATAAAATTCCAGTTAACAAAGCTGTCTGTGAAGTGTCCTAAGAAAATGGATAGTGATGGTATCACTACATTTATTTAAATCAATGTTAAAACAGTTAGTATTCTGTTGCAGTTCTTTTTAAGACTTGAGGGTAGCAACAGTACTTGAAAAAACAAAATTTGTTTCATTTCATTTCATTTTCATTTATTGGATTTCAAAGCTGCCACCAACTGTTTCTCTTTCAAACTACAATCTAATCGAAATCTACATTGATAAACTTTTTGATACATATTCACATGTTGCTATACTTTTTGTAGAAACTGCCGGTGCTTCAAAAAGTGCAGTCCCTTTAATCTACATACCATCAATATACAGTATGTGCAAGAGTTACTGCCCTGTGGGCTCTGACCCAAAACAGTCAATGCTGTGTCATACGTCTTGATTTGTCAACTATTCCGCTATACAGACATCTTCAAGTCTGTAGAAAGTAAAGAAGACAGAACATGTGGGATTGGGGTAATTGGCACAGACAGCACATGCCAGTCTGTCTCTCTGTGTCCTGTAACTGTTCATCAGTCCCTGATGAAAAGAATTTGGTTATTTCTTCCTTGAATGGAGGAATGTCCCCACTGTAGTTATTGATGGCGACCAGGAAGCATATAGAATTTTTATTGACAGCATTATTTCCCTTCCCCCTTAGGTTCAGGTTTGTACACTTTATTGCCATCCTAATCACAAAAATTTGTAATACTACCATAGGTATTCTTGATAAGAGCCTCCAGGAAACTGCATTTATTTACAGTTATTTGTGGCGCTAGCCTGGAAACAACATAGTTAAATCAATTAATATTTTCCAGCTTCAGCAATAAAGCTTAAATGCTTTTAGCAAAGGGAATG